AGCCGGGGAAAAGGAAGGCTCAGGGGCAACATGGTCACAGGCTAAAAATACCTTCAAGGTAACAATATAAATGAAGAAAGGGAATTGCGCGTGGTCTCAAAGGAGGCTAGGGCAAGAGACAGAGCTGGAAGCTAATGAAGGAAACGTGTAGAGTAGAGATGGGGAAGAAGACCTGGTCGGTGGGAAATTTGCTGGGGGAAGGGTCTGTGGGGGGCTGAGCAGGGCAGAAGCAGAGTGGTCACAAGGTGCCAGGGGAAATGGGGACTGTGCCTGTCCCTGTGTAACCAAGGGGCTTTATTTTCAGTTTTATGGATGCTCTGAGTGTAACCCAGTTTAACTCAACAGAATTCACCCTAGCTTTACTTTTTTTCCCCTTGCTTCTCTTTCCATGTGCCCAGTCAAGTAGCTGTTCCCTCCAGTAACTGGTTTTCTTTAGTCACACCTCTACAGCACAAATGAATATTTAGACCTCAGCAATTTTAATCACTCTTAGAAAGGAGAAACATAAACTTTCTAGTTGAGAAGGGAGTGCATGTGTCTCCCTTCCATGTTAATTCAGTGCAACTTGGGGAGATTTCTGTTCATGCACTCAGACACTTCCAGCTGCAGCTCAAGCTGATATGATACAGCGTGATTTGTCCTGGGTTTTGCTGGAGCAGCCTCCAATGAGGTAGGTGCTGTCTAAGAACAGGACAGAAAGATGGATGGTGGCGCAGAAATTTTGCATCTAGTAAATATGTAATATAAAATAAGTAGCTCTGTCAGCACCAGAATGAAGGAAGCCTGGCTTCTTATCAGTGTGTTGGCTGCAAATTCTGACTGAAGGGCTTTAGTAGCTGGGAGGGGTGGTCTTCTCATGGGCACCTACTCTGGTGTTTAATTAAGATGAGACTACACTTCAGGATCCCCTTTGGAGGGGGAAGGAAGACTCAGGGAGCCTCTGCCTCTCGCTAGGCTTCTAGTTTTCATGAAAATTGACACAAATTTAATTAGCATTGAGGCTGATGACTGTCAGATTTGATTGAAACTGGACAACCATCTGGTGGATCTTCATTTTAGGCTATTAAAAAAAAAAGTTTAAAAAAATCAGTGGCGCTACTGTGGTTGAAACTGAGTGCCAAGAAAGGCCTTTGCTCTTTGCCCTGTGCCCAGTTTGAAACCCTCTTGCTCTCGAGGTGGTCCTTCTGCACCAGTGTCGTCTTCTCTGGTCTTGGTTGCCGCGGCCCCAAGGGCTGGGGCGACCATCCCCTCGGGTGGCAGCAGGAGGCTGCAGACTCCGCGTTGCCCACAGCAGAAGGCTCAGGCCAAGTCAGGGGTAGCTCCAGGAAGGAGATTTTTCAGATCAGTGAGATAATACTACTGCACCTGCTGTTAATGCAGTGTCCTGAGCAATTCTAGACTTATAATGTGCTTTCAGTCCCTTCCTCAAGCCCATAAAGACGGCATGGGTCTTCAATCTAACTTAAGCTTATTCGGCCAATTTCTGTCTCTCACTAAAGCCCCATTTTTTTTTTTATGGCTCAGATGACAGCAGTGGCAAGCAGGGTCCTTTCAGTTTATTTTACCATGCACTTATCTAAACAATTCCTTTTCCACCACCCTACAAGTTCTCTGCAGCTGTGCCCAAATCTCCCCATACCCAGTGATGAAGCCTTTGCTGAGCATTGCCTTATGCTCTAGCCAGAAGTACGTATCCCCTTGTCACGGTCACCTTTCTCCTTTCGAAACCTGCAGGTTTCTCTGTTTACGCACAAGAATTTCATTCTTACAGCATTTCCCCCTGTGGGCTCAAACCTTAATGCTGGAGAAGTATCACCTTCCAAGCTGAGTTCCTCGAATGAACCAACCTCTGTCTTGGGTCAGGGCTCCTGTTTCAAAACCAAAAATGGTTTGGCATGTGTTGGAAAGAGTCCCTGTTAGCCAAGCAGTGAAGACGCATGGCTAATCAATAAACGTGGGTTCTTGGGGACTGTTTGCTGCTCGGAGAAGAGCATGGGGTGGTGAGAGGTAAGGGGTAGCTGAAGCAGAGGAGGGAGATGGGTGGATGCTGGGTGCAGAAAGACCGAGCCGTTCACGCCTTTTCTCTTGGCAGGTTAGTTTTGGTGGGATGGTGTAGCCTCCTGTACAAGGGGAGATAAAGCCATCTGCTTTAGGCTTTGAAAATAGCTTTGGAAGAAAGCTGTGAGTGACAAAGCCCAGGCTATGGGTAGCAGGGTTCACACAAACCACCAGCTGGGTCGGCGTGGAGAAAGGGCTCTGGTTCAGTGTCTCAAAGAGAAATCTATCCCTGGAGCCATTCTACATATTTCACACCAGTCATTTCTTACTATGCCTCAAAAATTGCCAAGGGACAGAGCATGGACTTTCTGTATCTTAACACAGCTTGATAGATTTCATCTTACCTTCAGGGTCTAAGCTATCTGCCACGGTATTTGTGTTTTAAAGCCATCAGTAGTGTTGAAAGCAAAGAACTGACTCAGTAATTCTGTTTGTCTGTGGAGACATAATGTCCTTGGATCAGATAAAAGCACCTTCCCAGTACTGCTTTTATACACCTCATTAATTCACGCAGTGTTAGTGGCTGTGTCTTTTCTTCCACCCCTCAGCAGAAGTAGCAACACAACTGACTTCATCTTCAAAATTACCTGCTGCAGACTCCGTGGCAGCACATTGCAGCTTGATTAGCGTTTATATTCCAGTTGTTCCCAAGAGACCGCTGCTCCTCTCAGGGTTGCAACTGTGCAAACTGGACCAAGGGAGAGCTCCCAGGAGCTGGCAGGGTGGCATGCAGGGGAGGAAAGCGGGAAGCCACGTGCTCGGGGTCTCGGCGTGATTTGCTGGAGGGACCCCAGACCCGCTCTCCTGAGGCGAAGCTACAACTTGCAGCGCCAACCTATGAAATATTATCTGTAGGGAAGGAGTTAGAGATGCCCTAAGAGCCAAAGGTGAAGAGAATAGAAGGAGGCGAGCCTAGAGTGGGTCTTCATCCACAGTTTCAAGCCTTTTCCACCTCCCATGGACTGCTCGGTTCATGTAAGGAGATCATCCTTGGTGCTATTTGCTCACAAGGCCTTGCTTGTCTGAGGTTTTACCTCCCTCCCAAGCAAAGCAACGAGCTCTGACAGCTGGTACAACCACACCATCTCGTTCCTTAGCCCATCCACAGCTTGGGAAGGATGAAATATCATCCCCTCCCTTGGCCCACTCTGGTACTTGATGGTCTCGGAGATCCATGCTACCCAAAGCTGTGCTGCAGTGTGACACTGCAAATGACCAACTAATTAGGCAAAGAGGAGTGTGATGAATTTAGATTCTTCTTTAGGGCTCACAGACCATTAGTAATCTTGAATTTGTTAATTGAAAATTGCTTCCTCTGTTTGTTGTTGGCCTTTTTGTGGAGGGGGATATTTCCTGCTTTTGGACTGCGTCGCTGGATCTATAATAATGCACTTTGTACATTAGTGCCAGGCACATTTGTAATTGGCTACCCTATTAAAGAACACTAATGATCTTACAAGTGTTCACAAATAATGAATAGAATGGCCCCTCATTGAATTGAGTAATTTATTCACTGACATACTTGCAGATCTGTTTTTCCAGTATTTAACGCAGCTTTAGTTTTCTGCCTGCCTTGCAGAGATGACTTGTCTTTTAGCCGTGTGTTGGAGAGAATATGGGTCACAGGAAACATACTGTTCATAAGAATGTAGGGCTGCTCCACACTGGCTCTTCTCTTAATGTACATGGTGGGATTTGGAGAGTAAGCAGCAGCAGTTTTAGTCTCAATTCTCTTCTTGTCCATTAGTTGTGGCTGGGATTCTCCTGAGGCATAAGGAGAGGACCAAAAAGCTGGGACTTGGGAAATGCACTCCGGAAGGTTATGTTGATTTTTTTTCATTTAAATATGGACTTCAGGAAAAGCATGTCAAAGATATGGAGCGGCAGGATTGGTTTTCCAACAGCTGCCCCTGGCTAGAGAGGAGACTGAAACACAGCCCTGCTGGTTCCTGCAGCCATGAAACTTTGGGCAACCATTTTTCTGCTTCCCTACTAGAGGTACTTTGTGTTGAAAGAAGCAGCTCATCTGAGCTTGCAATTTTATTTACATAAAAACCCCTTGTCCTAAAGCCTTGTTTACTTACAGAGAACATGTAGAAGTGTGCAGTTTGCAGATCATCCATGACTTGTTGGGTTGCAAGGGGTAGAAAATTCACTGCAGTAGGAGTTGATGGTCCTGGGTTTTATTTTGTTTGGTTGCAGGTTTTCCCATTGCACTACCACGACCCTTTTCCGTGGAGGATAATTGTGTGGGCAGGTACCTCTGCCTTACCTCAGGCTTCTGCAGCCTACCCGTCTTCTCCTGAGTCTTGTGAAGGTGTGTCAGGAGGAATATTCCTTGGGGCAGAAGCCAGCCATGGTGTATGGGGGGGAAAAGGTAATCCTGGACCATAACCAACAGGGTGTGTTAAAGAGCTGATTTGGGTCAGCACATCTGGAGATGGATTTCCTAGGAGCTTGGTCTGTGCAGCTTGGTGACCACATCATGGTGGAGTTTCAGTGCGTGAAGTAGGATGAACTTGGGCTTCCAAGTCTTAAGAGGGCAGGTTGGACCTTGGGGAAGGGTGAACAAAGGGAATGGCTTTGCTCAGGGGGATGTGTGGGGAGGTTAGGCAGCTCTGGTGGCTGAGTGGGCATGTGGAGGACTTGGGTCCTTCCTGTGAACATGCGGCAATGTCTGGGACCGTGTCGAAAGCCACGGGGATGGGCATCCCATTGCTGGCTGGTACCCAGCCCTTCTATGGGGTTTGGTGATTTTGTGGGGGATGCCAGAGCCTGATTTTTTGGGAGGCAACACTAGAACCTCGCTTGGGGGGATAGGGAAAAGATGTCAGCCCCTGATTTGAGAGGGGGATGCCGGACCCTGCTTTGGGGGGG